ATATGGAATTGTAAAGAAGTAAAATACAATTATTATTATTACTATTCATTCATATAATAAATAATAAAAAATCTTTTTTCTTACTGAGTAAATTAAAATTAAAATTTAAGTTAAAAATTAGACATTAAAGAAAAAGAAAATAATGAAAAGGCATGAAAAAAGTGTTAAAAATTAAACAAAATGTTAATTTATTATAAAAATAAATTAAATTTTATTGATAAATCTAATTATACTAATTAATTTATAATTTATATAAAACGAGAAGAAAAATACATTTATATCCGTCTTTTCGTCCTTTCATTCAAATAAATTCAAAATCAATTTCAAACTCCGCCCTCTTTCATCTTCCCATCCTATTTGATATTTATTCTTCAACGTTACAAGGCGGAGCATTCATCATCTATCAGCTGCTTCTATAATACAATGATACTAATCGTTAGATACAAGTATGTGTATGTGTATGTATGTGTATGTGTATGTATGTGTATGTGTATGTATGTGTATGTGTATGTATGTGTATGTGTATGTATGTGTATGTATGTGTATGTATGTGTATGTGTATGTATGTTTATGTATGTGTATGTATGTATATGTGTATGTGTATATATGTGTATGTGTATGTGTATGTATGTGTATGTGTATGTATGTGTATGTGTATGTATGTGTATGTGTATGTATGTGTATGTGTATGTATGTGTATGTGTATGTATGTGTATGTGTATGTATGTGTATGTGTATGTATGTGTATGTGTATGTATGTGTATGTGTATGTATGTGGTGTATGTGTGTGTGTGTGTGTGTACGGATATATGTTCAAATGTAGGAATAGAGAGAGAGAGAGAGAGAGGGAGAGAGAGAGAGAGAGAGGGAGAGAGAGAGAGAGAGAGGGAGAGAGAGAGATTTGGATAATTTATTCTGTCAAAAATATTTTAGCTATGAATGATATTTATACATTTTTTTTTAATAGCTATTTTCATTATTTTCTACAATATTTCATTTACACTAAATGTTTGAATTTTTTTTTTTTTTTTTAAATTTTATCTTTTATTAATTAATTGTTGACAATCTTATAGTTAAATTTTCTGTTTTATTTATAAATTTTCTGTTAAAAATAAATTTTATTTAATGAATTTATTTTGGCTATAATATTGAGCTAAAATTTGGTCGAATATTTAATTATATATGTATTTGTTAGAATTAATAAAAGTATTGATTAAAACATATTTTATTTATTTATTTATTTTTACATTTATTTCTAATTTGATTAGATATTTTAAATTGAAAATGCACTTTTTTTACATTCATAAAAAATGGCTTTTTTAAAATAAAATAAAGTACATTTTAATTATTAATTTTTCTTAATAAAGCTAAATTGGTAAAAATTCTTTTTCTTACTATTATTTTTTAACATGATAAAGAAAAATAAAAGCTAAGTGTAAATTATATTTTGTTACAAATCAAACATTTAGTGAGTAACTATTTACGAGTAATTTTAACTTAAAATAACTATAGAATATAGTCTGTTTGAATAAATTTTCATTTCATTCATTCATTCATTCTGATTACAAAATTATCAAACAAAACTAAATTTTGTCATTTGATCAATTAATTATCATAAATTTTTTGCTAACTTCTATTGCATTAAAAATTTCTCATCTATAAAATTTTCTATCCATATGCGATTCTTTCTATTATTCATTTTTCATTTTAAATAATTTAAATCATCAGAATCAGTTTATGTAAATTGTAGGGAAAAATGATGATCTAAGAATTGAAATTGTATGACATATCTTAATCTCTCTCCTCCTAACATCTTGGCTTAAAGGTCAAAGTATAACTGATACGTTCTATCATATCATTGACTTGATTAACTGTAATTAGTGATAAGGTGTCAAGAAAAATACATAAAAAGTAATACTTTAGTTTCCATATAAAAAATTTTAAATTTGACCTTTTCAAAAAAAAAAAAAAATAATTCTTAAATAAAATTTCATTCACTGATAATAGTTAATAGTTAAGAGATATGTCTTGTTTACTTTGATATATTGAAGTAAGCCTTCGTCTAATATTAAATGCATAAATTATTACAACATCACTTACTAAAATATAATTACCGTAACTTATGCAATTTATTTTTTTTTAAACTAAATTTTTTATCCTCAAAATTGACTCTAAGAATTACTAGTATTTATATCAATAAATGCACCAATTCGATATGACATTACAGTTCAAAATTTGTAGTGATAAAATTAAATTTCATATTTGAACTAATAATAGGAAAGTTTTTATTTTAAGTACATCACGGCACTTAAAAGAATTCTAAACTGATGTTTACATTCTGTTAAATATTTCATTAACGAGGCTATCTTCAAGATCTGTTGAATAATTGCTTCAAGTTTATTAAGCTTTTACAATGAAAGAGATCTTGATTTATGTCTAAATTTAAATTTGAATTTGAAATACGAGAAATTTGAATTTATTAAAGTGTCAACTGTGCTACGAACATTGATTACAAAAGATAAAGTGATTGTATGCATAAGCCGATTACGGTGACACTTTTATATAAGTTGATGACATTATTTAATCCAGTGTAGCCAACAAAAAGGTCATCTTACTAATCTTGTGACATTTATATTCGGTTGTGAAAATGATTTATTACACGAATCATTCGACAACTTTCACTTACACTGCATATTTAGGTTTTTCTAACAATTGAAACATAACTTAATTAATATTAATCTCAGTACTTACAGTATCCATCGAGAATACAAGCAAACGTTCTTACGTTTGGTAATTTATTTGCATGTTGAAGTTAAAGGTCATATAATTTCGTTGTTTTTATTTTTGCATATTTAAATGAGTCACCAATCATTTAATCTTCACTGAGACATTTGAATTAAATTGTTTCAATAAGTATTGCAAATGTAAGTATTACTCAAACTGTACTTGAAAGTTTGACATTTGAGTTCATTAGGTTTTACTGATATCTAATTATAATATCATTTACATATGTCAAATCTTCAATAAAATCATAATCTCTGCTTTATAAAATGCAAAATTTTTTTTCGAATTTTGTTTTAGGTATTTAACAGTATTTTTTTTTTTTTTGAAATTAAACATCATCAAACTATTCATTTGTAATTTTTCACTTCTATGTTTAAACACAAATTACAACTACTTTATCTTTTAAACATACACACAAAATTTTCCGTAATATATCATTGCTATGTCCACTTCATTTTAAAAAAAGAAAAAAAGTTGTAAACTTTTTTGTTTTCAGAGAAAAACAAAAGAAAGACGAAATCATAATTTCGCTCAAATAATATCTATGAAAAGTATGCAAATATTTTTAATTAAGTTATACAAATATTAACTTTAAACTTTTTTCTGTTTAATTTATTATTGAACAATTTTATTTAACTTTAGTTTTTTCTTAAATACTCTTTTCTTCTCTCTCCATTTCTCTCTCTCTCTCTCCATCTCTTTCTGTTTTGGCAAGGCTTTAATACTGAAATTAATTTTCTCAAATACCAACACATTTCACTTTCTGATAAAGCTTTCATCCTGAAACTCTTCCTGTTTAGCTATTCTTTAACTGAATTTGTTGTAATCGTAATTATCATTTACTAATTTCAACTTTATTCTTAATATTTACTCACTTTCAGTTTCTAACTTTCGATGCCAATTTTTATTTGTTTGCAAAATTGCTGTACTGATAATTTCACATTACGAAGCTAAATTTCATACCGTACTCCCAGACGAATCACATCTTTCCCATTACGATAGATTCGTGCTGCGTGTGTATGTGTGCATGCGTGTATGTGTGTGTGTGTATGTGTGTGTGTGCGTGTATGTGTATGTGCGTGTATGTGTGTATGTGTGTATGTGTGTGTATGTGCGTGTATGTGTGTGTATATTTGCGTACTTTCTGCTAGGAAACGGTACAATAATTTTTTTTTTTTTATTTCTTTTTTGTCACAAAATTTGTCATCGAATTGAACAAATTTATACATTTGATCTGCAAAAATTCCTCTCCTAACTCTCATAAAATTTGCACATTTCAATGTTATAATATATATTTAAATAAAATAAATAATCAATGATTGATTAAATTTAATCGATTTGATCGATCAATTTTATTCGTTTTCATTTTCACTGAATTTTCAAGACGGAAACGATCTCGTTGTATCCTTTTTTTTTAAAAAAATTCATTCCTTTTTCTTTTTTTTTTTTTTTTGTTTCTCGGCGCAAATCGATAATTCGATAATATATGTATGTTTTTGCATCGTAGCTTATCAGTAATGACAAGATACTAATTTTTGATTTATATAATGAATACTTTTTTAAGTAATTAGCTTTTAAAATTTTTTATAAATGATAACATTTAAATTCATTATTAAAAAATTTTTTCTGTTAAATTATTATTATACATATATGCGTTTGTGATTAGTGTCAAATGATAACATTTAAAAATTCATTTAAATTAGTTTTTCTCTTACTTAGTACATTTTATTTGTAGTGAATTTAAATTTTTACATTATATATATATATTTGCTATATTATAAAAAAAAAATGAAACATTTTTAATCAAATAAAAAAAAAACACTTTTTTCTCGGATTTACTTATCATTCTCTTAAAAAAAAAAAAGTTGAAGAAGCATTAGGATATTTTTTTTTAGCTGTTTATTTAGTGACAGAAGAAAAAGAAATTGCAATCGTTTATCGATTGCAATCAAATCGATTCTCGAATTGTCGTTCTCGATCCAATCGTTTAGCTCAATCTGTCGAAGTATTTCACACTCTATTCATTCTTTCAGCTGTTTATCCATTTTTTTCTATTTTTAGTCTATTTACCAAAGTGTACAGTTAAAAGCTATTGCTAGTGCCTATTTGGCGCTGAATGAATTGTGTCGTAGTGATTTGTGATGATAATGATGTTGATAATGATGATGATAATGATGATCTGGTAGTTTATCATCGTGGTCTTAATTTTAATTCAGATGGCAGCCGACGTTTGCGCTGAGCAGGTAGTAAATTTTTCCTTTTTAGTTTGTAGTTTGTTTGTTTATTTATTTTTTTTTTCTTTTATCTTTTTTCGAATAAATTTCGCAATAATTATGAAATTCATTTATTTTTCACATTTAAATTTTAAAATTTTAGCCGAAATTTATTTTGTTATGCTTAACATAAAATTTAATGAATACTATTAATTAATATTGTTTATCTCTTGTTAGCTTACTTTTTTCTGAACTTTTCAAGCTAAATTTTTATAAGCTTATTCATCATTTCTCTTTTTTTTTTTATAGAACATTAATCAATCTCGAACTCTCTACTAATTTATAATTTACGCTCATCCATCTTTCAGATCTCAGAATTTTCATTAAAATGATTGTATTTCTTAATTAACAATTAAAAATTGCAATTAACTCGAAATAAATTGATAATTTTTTCAATTAATATAATATAAAACTTATTTTGCTTACTACGTTTAGGAAGTTTTTTTTTTTTTTGTAACTAAAAGATGAAATTTCAAATTATGAAGGTTAGCTTTTAAAGTAAACAGCCATTTTATATTTTTTTTCTTGCATAAATGTTACAAAGTCATTAAGACTAAAAAGTTATTCTTACTAAAAAAATCCACTGATTAAGAAAATTACAGTTTATAAATTTAGTATGATTATAATTAATCTAATCAATAATGGCATAAGTTTGAAACGTCGTAAATTGAAATGATAAAAACTCAATGATCCTATAACTGATGTGCTTTTATTTATTTATTTTTTTTTTGATGTCACATTAGTGTCAAAGCAAAGTGAAACAGAAGTAAAAAATAAACTGCAAACTGAGAGATTTTTCCATCCTGAAAATAATTAATTGTTTGTGAAATATTCGAAAAAGAAAATTATATTTCTTTAAATAAAATGATCATTTACTGTTGCAATTATCAATTTAATTAAATGAATATTTTCAATATTTCCAGAACACTAAATTCAATAAAGTGAAAAGTTTATTTTATTTTTTTTTTTTTTAGCTACCATCAACATCATATGCTACCACGGCGACAATTTCACCGTCCTCAAACACATCAATCATGCAAGCTTCACAAGCAATAATCAAGGTAGCAACTTCTTCCACCACTCTTCTCCTCGGATCATATCATATGAGTGAAAATACATCGCCAATCTCATTTAACAATCATCAGGTATGTATAGGTTAGGCGCAAACAAACAAAACAAGTAGACAAACAAATAAAGCAGCAAACAAACAACAGAGGACAATAATTAAAAATTTTTTTTTTAATCCTAAAAAACATTTTATAGATGAATTTATTCATTATTTGTTTGCTGTAAAATCATTAGTGTTATTAACAAAAATTGAATTAATTTAAGTTAAAGCTAACACTGAAAAAGAATTTAGTTTTCATAAATTAAGAAATTGAACCAGAAAAAAAAAGAATTAAAAAAAGAATAAATTAAGTTATCTATATAAAACAGGATGATGAAAAAGCTGGAACAGCATTTGCAATATCATTATTACCACCTGAAATACATTTGCATATTTTGAAACATTTACCACGATACGATATTGATAATTGTCGATTTGTTTGCAAAAGATGGAAGGAAATGATCGATCGTAATAGTCATTCACTCAGGAAACATCTCATACAAATGCTCGAACTTCGAGAATATAAATCTCGATTCATCCTAACTTTAAAGTATATTTCATCTTTTACATATTAAATTCATTATTACTGTATTTGAATAAAGATGCAATTAAGTTTGAAAAAATTATTTACACATATAATATATATTATGATACTTTACTTCTTAAGTTAGCCTTTAATAATTAATTAAGAAAATTGAGATTAAATAAACCGCAAGGTACCAGTAATAGTAAGTTTAAATAAATCAGACAATATGCACAACAAATTTAAAATTTCATTGTTGAAATGAATTGAATAGAAAGCTGACTTTGTTAAGATATAGTAACGCAGAAATTTTTTCATATTCTAAAAAATAAGACAAAAATTTGAATAGCTAGTTTCAATTTTAAATAATCAAATTCATTAATTAAAAGATGATACTCTGAATATTTAGCTAACTTGATTAGCTACTTTAAAATGTTTATTAATCTTATCTCTTTAGAACAATAGCTTAGATTAGTTGCTTCATTAATTAGGATGTGAAATTTTAAATAAATGACAATTAACTGTTGTTGATAACTATTCACTACAAATTCTTTTGTTTCCCTGTAATTTTATACCAATAAATTTTTCCTAAAAATCAACTTAAAATTTCAATCAATTAATGTCAGATTAATTTCTCTTTGTTCATTGAAATGCAAAATAAATTGTTAATAGTTAAGTTAGATGACATTTTTGATAATTAATATCGTTGTAGCAAAAAAAAAAATTTATGCACAAATGCTAAACAAATGTATAAAATATTGAATTTATAGAAAGAAAGAAAGGAAAATATATTTAAAGAGAATTTAATTGATAGCTTTTCGAAACAACTGAGCCAATTTTAACTATGTGAATAGTAAGAGAATAATGATAAAGTGGTTGGGAAGTAGAAAGGTAAATTGTAAGCATAGCAGAAAGAGATGGATGGATTGTAAGCATAGCAGAGAGAGATGGATGTATTATAAGCATAGCAGAGAGATTGTAAGCATGGCAGAGAGATAAGTATTTAATGAACCTTTGCTTACCGTATTCTTAAACAGCTGTTTTAGTATGATATACACATGTATATAACATCGATGAAATTAATTTAATAGCAATAATTTTAATTTTTTTTTTTTTTGTTTATTTATTAAATTTTTTTGTGAAGAAAAGATGAGAAATACCTTAAGTGCATTAATAATACAACAAAGATAATTCATATTCAAAACTTATGTAATTTAATTCATTATCTAATTCAATGTTAACTCATAATCTAATTTAAATTTTGTATCTAATTCAAAGTTTGTATAATTTAGTTTAAAGCTCACATTTTTTTTAAAAAGTTTGATCTAATTCAAATTTAAAAAGTTTGATCTAATTAATAAGTTTGATCTAATTAATAATAATAATAATAATAATAATAATAATAATAATAATAATAATAATAATAATAATAATAATAATAATAATAATAATAATAATAATAATAATAATATAAATCAATGATGCAGTAGAAATAACAAATACAATACTTTATAAATGGATAAGGAAAATTTAATCATAAATTGTAATTTGTTATTATCTAGTGATTAGATCAGTAAATTTTTGGATTAATAATTTTGTTAATATGAAAAATTAAATTTTAATTCACTAATTGTTAATAATATTTGAAAAAAATATGCGCTCAAAAAATATTATTAATACTTTCCATTGCATAAACTTAAACATTAGATGTATTTAAAATAAAGAGAAATAAGGTAATACAATCAACTTTGTAAATTTTTTAATTTATTTTACTTAAAATAAAATCAATCAAATGCATTTTCATAAGAAATATTTTTAAATTATTATACAGAAATTTAAGAAATATTTTTAAATTATTATAAAAAAATTTTTTTTCAAAAAAAAAATATATAAGCTATATATATTTGTTTACAGTTGTTCAAATCTTCTAAAAAGTTGGACATTTTGCGAACATATTGCCACTCGTCCGTCTTTTGGCCTTGGAAAACGTCGACGTACGAAGACTTTAACAACACTTTGCAATAATGAAGAACAACAACAACAACAACAACGACAACAACAACAACAACAACAACAACAACAACAACAACAACAACAACAGCAACAACAACAACAACAACAACAAGCAACAACAACAAAAACAACAACAACAAAAACAACAACACCAACAACAACAACAACAACAACAACAACAACAACAACGACAACAACAAGAACAGCAACAACAACAAGAACAACCATCTCCAGCAAAATTACCTCATTTACTCATTTATATGGGACAGACTTCATCGTCTAATTCTTATTTACCAGTCTTAGTGCCAAACCCATCAAATGATAGTAATTGGCATACGGAGGTTAGTGCAAATTTTAATTTACCTTTCAATAACTCAATGAAATATCATTGCACTAAAATTTCTTTTGGTAATATTTTAAGAATTTATTAGATTAAAGTAATAATATAAAAATTTTCATTTATTAATAAATATTAATTTTTTTATTCAGTATTTCAACATTTTAGAATCTCTTAAAGCATAAATATGCTAATATAATTCAAAAAAAAAAAAGAAGAAAAAATGATTGTTATAAAGAATATACAAATAATTTACATATTTTTTTATATCATAAATATTACGAATATTTATCATTAATGCAAAAGAATTATTAATAATATTTTTCTGAAAAAAAAAGGCAAAAAAGAGCAAAATTAATAATTGCGATACTTATTAGAATTAAATTTTTGATTTAGTCATTTAATTTTTAAAATTTATTAATTAATATCTAATTGTAAAAATTATTGCCAATTTTGCAAAACTTTTTATTATTAATATTTACATTTTAAAAAATTTGTGACTAAAAAATGTGTTAATATAATATTTTATTCAATTATATAAATTTAAATGGAATTTTTCAATTTTACTGTCTAAAAATGTGAAATAAACTTTGATATTATGAACTTTTTGCATTAAAACTTATTTATATGTTTTTTTTAAGTTCCAATATAAATTGAGCAAAATTAGATATACAGTAAATTGTTACTGATTTGAACTATTATTAACATTTAATACTTATCGATTTTGAAATTTACTTTTATATCAATTCCTAAAATACGAAATGTACATGTTTGAAAGTTCAATAAATAGAAATTCTTAATTTTATTACTAAAAATAAGGAATGAAATTTTTAAATATATGTTTAACTTTAATGTCTAAAACATATGTTTAAATTGTTTAATTTAAAAGTTTTCATTTTTTATGTTAAATGAAATAAAATAGTTATTACTAAAATTATTTCAAATTTATAGGATCACAATGAGCGAAAACAACGAGAACATACGCCATCGCAATTATTATGCGAACGATTAGCGAAATATTTTCGTGAAACGGATATTCATTTCTTAAGATTAACTGAATTACGATTTACGGATAATTTCATTGACCGACTTTTAGAAACTTTTGGAACATGTAAAATACGTTGTAAAAAAGTGGAAATAAGTATGTGTAAGCTAAATTATGTGTCACCAAAAAAGTAAGTTTTTAGCTTTTTTTTTTTTTTTTTTTGCTTATTACTACTTATTAGTATTAAAAAAAGTTTTCAAAATATTAAATAGTTTAAAAAATATATGCTCAAATTTAATTTTTATGCATAATACATACGTTTTTTAGTATAAAAATTTCCAGTTAATTCATTACTTTTACAATTTCTTTATGCCAAATTAATAATTAGTTTAAATTTATTACATTCATTCAATTTAGAGTATATACAAATAGATTTTTTTGTATTATTACTGTGCAAGAAAAAGAGACTTATTAAAAAGAAAAAATATTGCGCATAAAATAATTATTCGATTAATTAAATATGTATTAAAAATATTATGAGTAATTAGTTGCTAAATTACTAGTAATAACTCAATGAAATACTCAAATTATTACTTTTTTTTTTGGTTTAATCTAAATTCTAATAAATTTTAGATTCCATCAATTTCTTCAATTAATTGAATGTGATAAATTATCACTTATTTGGTTACGCGGTAATCATGAACATATAATCAATTCTCAACAATTTCTTTCTGAATTTCTTGGCCTCAGCTTTTTGAGTATTTTTGCGCTTACACCACAAATAGCTATCGGTGATGATGAATTCTTGGCTAAATTTTTGGAAGGTAAAGCGACGAAATATTTGGAAGAAACAATACTTCGAATAGACAACAGCTTAATCACTACAAATGGATTCTGTCAAGCAATTGATGTCGGTGAAATTGACTCTTATTAATTGCTAAAAGTAGTCAAATTTATTTACTTTAATTGAAATAATTTTCAAAAAAAAAAAAATTATGCATAAATTTTAATTTTTTTAAGAATTAATATGAATAATAAATTATTGCTATAAGACTTCAAATGTTTAATTTCCATTTATTGCTTTTATAACAGTTAAAAATTGCGCATTATTTTATTTTATAAAATATTTTTTTAAATTATTTTATAAAAATTTCAAATTATTCGATCATATTTTTTCCGATTTTTTTTTATGTCTATCCTTTTTTCTAACCAAAAATAAAAAAAAAATCAGAAAAAAATTTTTTTTCCGATTAAAATAATTTGAAAAATTAAAAGAGAAGAAAAAAAGATAATTTGAAACTTTTGATTACTATATTTTATATATATTTATACATTTATGAAATTATTACGTATTTATTATGCTTAAAGTAAATTACATTTTTCTTAAAAAGTTAAATTAAATTCAAAATTTTTTCATTTTTTTTTTTTTTTTTTTGAGAAATTTCACAGATATTTATTAATTCAAATTTTAGAAATGGAAACAGACTAATACACATTGGATTTTGAATATTTGCATTGGTTCAGAATACATTGTTATTGATGAAATTTTGAAACATTTATCATTGAATGAAAGTAAGCCACGGCAAGGTGCATTCCGGATAACTCATCCACAATTACCGGATGAAACACTTTTGCTGTGGAGTGATAAGGATGGTGTACATATAGCTAGCAATGCAAATTCAGTTTCCGGATTGTAAAAAATTTTAATTAGCAATAGAGATTCACTTTCCTGACTAACTCTAGCAATGAAAATTCAGTTTACTAATTGTAAAAACTTATTGAATGATACTATTTCAAATTATTTCATTTGAGCAATACGAAATTTGTATTTTCTGTAATTGGTTGTTGTTATTGTTGCTTTTTTTTTAAAAAAAAGTTTTTAGAATTTATTATTTTAGAAAATAACGAAATAAAATAAATAAGTGAAATAAATTTTTTATTTATTTTTTGAACTTTAATTTTAGGTAATTAGGTACCAAATTTTTAGGATATATTCAATAATTAACCTTTAATAAAAGATTTTTAAGCCATTCATTCTTTAGTCTTTAAAATTTTGACCTTTCACTTTCAATCTTAAACAGTAATTAAACAAAATAAATATAAAAGCTGATAAGTTGATCAAAAAAAACAAACATAAAACGCTAAACAAATTAATTTCTCAAATAGTTCTGATGGAAAGACTAAAATATTCAAAGTATTATTTTACATTTTAATTTGTTTTTCATTTAAAAATAATAACTAATAAATAAAGTAATGTAATGATTTAGGAAGTTAGCGATAATAATATATTTAAGTTGTTTACATAAATAAAAATTAAATTAATTTTCTTTTTTATTTTTTTTGTTCATTATCGCTCATTTGTTGTTCATTCATTCGTTGATTAAAGATTGTATTTGTTTATTGCCAATTGATTGATTAATTTATTGATCAATATGTGATCTTTCGATCAGTCTAAACTAACATATATTTTTCATTTCATTGAAAAACAGATATGTTATGTCTCTAATTAATATGTCAAATAATATTTTTGATGTATTACTGTGAAAACCTAATACAATTGTGATTAGGTAATCATCACTTTTCGATCTTATCATTATTGTTATTATCACTCTTATCATTGTTGTCAGAAGTGTTACTGCGAAGATTTGATGAATGAATAATTTAATATACATATTTTATTAAAACTTATAAAATTTCACTGTTTGAATATTAACTTAAAATTTTAAAAACGAAAAAAGATTCAATACCAAGTGGCTTTTGAAATTTTTATCGAATTAAAGTTTCAAAAACTATTCATTTCAAAAAATTCCCAATTATTAATTTTTCATTCATTCATTCATTCATTCTTTTATATTTCATCCATTTTATTGTAAATTTTTTATTTCGCAAAAAAAAAACGAAAAAAATTCTTTAAAATAATTTTAAAAGAATGTTTAATTTAAATTCGCTTCAGTACATTTTAATTATAGAATTATATTAAATTTTTAAAAATTTAATATAATAAATTGAAATAATTAATAATTTAAATGGCAATGCAATATGAAGTGGAAATGAATTATTTTTACATATCAAATGTTACATTTTTCTCTCTCTCTCTTTCTCTTTCTCTCTCTCTCTCTCTTTTTACCTCCCAAATATTGCACTTATTTGGTTTTGAATGAATTTACTTTACAATTCTGAAAATGATACATACATTTTACATTGATTAATCGAAATTTAATAACTCGAATTGCTTTCTTTTATTTTATATTTTTATTCGATTATTAAGCACAAAACAAAAAACACATTAACTAACACATATAAATCAATGTTAAAATTTATTGAAAAAATTTTAATTTGTTGAAACATTGTATATTGAAATTATTAAAATAGATATTTTCATTAAAAAAAAAAAAAAACTCAAAATTCTAATCTATTTGTGCTCCTTGCAACAATTAAATTCAAACCAATTATTTCATTATTTGAACAAAAAAAAAAAGGAAAAAAAAAACGGAAATATGGATAAAAATGCAATTTTCATTTGTTATTTTATCAAACATTGCAAAATTATCAAATGAAAAATTTTTTTTTATCAAAATTATTTCAATTTCTTTAAATAATCACTCAGTTATGCTTGTAAACACAAACATTAATCTCAATAACAATTTCATTTGATATATTTCGTGAAAAAATTCAAACCAAATTTTCAAATTGTTAACATTTGTTCTTCGATAAATGAAACAAAAACAAAAAATGACATTTATTTTTTCTTTTCCGTCAGCAAATTTTATTACAATGCTTTTAGAAAGATAAAAATTTCTTGAAATTTCTTAAATTTAAAACGAAAAAAACGAGTTTCCTACTATCAGCTAAATAGCTATAATCAATAATATTTTAACTGATATTAAGCATTGATTTTTTTTTTTTTAAATTTATATCATTTTAATATATTCATTAAATTTATTTTAACTCAGTTTAATCTTATTAACTTTCAGTTTAGCTCTTTCTGCTTGAAACGATTAGCTAAACTTCTTTAATCGATAATTTCTTTCGTATTTAGTATTAAAAATTAAATTTCAATATTTATACATCAAAAAAGTTGTAATAATTTATATTATATAATAAACAATTCTAAAACTAAACGATAATTAAATCCATGATTTTTCTCTAAAAAGTTTCAATTTAACTCATTAAATTCAGTTTAACTCATTTTCAGTTTATTTTTTTTTTAATTTAGTTTTTTTTTTTTCTACTCTGTAAAGTGCATTATAACTTTATTTTTGTAGAAAAAAAATTTTTGACATAACCTTATTGATAGATTTGTTTGTTGTGGATGACATTTATTGACAAATAAGCCATCGCATAGTGTTTGGTGACATTTCGGAGACAATTTTATTACTAAAATAATTTTAAAGTGAGTGTGAAGGAGAATTTGCAACCAAAATATGAAAAAAGTATGCTAAGTGTATAAATTATTCCTTTATTATTTCCCTAATTAATTAATTAATTAATTTTGCTATTTGCTTACACTAATAAATTGCTCAATTAATTAATGATATAAAAGATTTATTTGCTTATTCGTTTGTATTAATTGTTATATTATTGCTGTTTTTTTTTAAGGGAAACTATGTGTTGCAAAAAAAAAAAAAAATAATTTGTTCGTCTCAGACAGTACTAAATAGTTTCAGTGACTTTTTTTTGAAGTATATTTAAAAATATTCTCACGATATTATATCAGATAATGCTTATTTATCATTTTGCTAGTTTGATACAGTAATTTTTAACAATTAGAAATGAGAAAGGGAAGTATCTTTTTCTTTTTTTAGCTCAAATGTAGAAGTAAATTAGAATGTTTTAAATGGAATTATTTAAATGTTAATTCTGTAAAAATTAATATTTAAATTTAGAATTTAGACATTACAAATTTTTAGTCACAGTGTTTAATTACGACTACTAACTCGAATACATTAAGTACACCAATATTGTCGTTTTTTTTCTAAATCTAATAACTTACTCATACAATCAGTAAGTTACTTTTTTGGAATGTCATTAAAGAAAGTAAATTTTAGTATTACTATAATAACTTTATTTAAATTTCATCCATTAATTTGAAGGAAGGAAGAGTGGATATACAATTATAAAAAGAATTGAAATTCAATCTTTATGCATTTCAAGATATCATTTGAAATTGTTCGTTGTTCAATTTGATAATATCATTTACCATTATCACAAATCAAAAGAATCATTTAATTAAAAGATCATTTTGTGAAGAGGAATTTCCTTCACTACTCTTATCATCACTATCAGTTGAATGATCAGAATTCTATTGACGTATTCAAGAGCGCACAATAATTCTCGTCGCTGATTTTTTTTTTTTTTTTTACTTTTTTAAAGCTACGATAGATTTTTTCCTTTTCTTGCAAACAAAAAAGAAATACAAAAAAAAGAGAGAGAGAGGAGAGAAAGGGAGAGGAAGAGAGAGAAATTCCAATTTATTGAATTGAAATCAAATAGAAATTTTAAACTCATAAAAATTAACTCTTTAAAATTTCGATTGTGATATAAGAAACTTTGTCAATGATAAATAATATAACAAATCCAAAAGGTTTACCTTTTTTTTTTTTGTTTTCATATTAAATAGAATGAAATTACTTATTCAAGGAATGCATTTCATTTGTTTGTATTATGTAAAATATAAATTTTTTGCTTGAAGGATAAATAATGCATTGTTTACCGTTTAGTATGATTATTCGTTAACAAAAATTTTCTTAAATTATCCAAAAATTTTCACATTTTCCTTTCAGATTTCAAAAAATATTTTTTTTTTTTGCAACATAAGAAGCTCTAGCTGATTTAGATAAATTTACGTGATACGTGATACGTGATACGTGATATATCCTTCCTGATATGCTTAACAAATTTTAAATTATATTTCCAATCTTTTGATAAGGCTTTTTCTTAGTGCAAACAATTTAACAGCAAAATTTCTTAAACAATAGTCGAGAAATTTCAATTATGGATTAATCTTTCAAAATCTCTTAATAAATAAGCCAAACAAATTTGTTTTCTTTTTAGCAACAAAAATAATTGTATGCTATATAGCTGTTAGCTGCTATTTACTGAGCTAATCAAAATTGCTAAAAAAATAATCTTTTAAGTTTTCACTCAAAAAGAATGCCAAATTAGAATGAAACAAAAGTCAATCACATATGATCAAAATACTTTGATTCGGTACTTTAGTTGAATTTGTTGAATTTATAAGAAAATATATTAAATTAATGCAAAAGAAGTGTTATTCAAATGCTATACTTACTGCATCGCTTTTTTTTTTAATATTTGGCGAAGATAACTTAATAAATTAATAACTTAGTAAATTAATAATTTAATAAATTAATAACTTAAGTCCTCACTTAAGCTATTAATTCCATTAAATATAATACATTTGAATCATTTCTATCAGAGTAACATTACTACTATCTGATAAGCTGATAAAAATGAAGACAAGAATGTGTAAAATTATCAAAAGTATAAATATAACACTTCAATTGTATTATTAACAATAACTTTGAACTTGGCTCATTCTGTTTAATTTTATTGAATAAAAGGCAGCCTAGACTGGCCCTCCCTACTCCTACTAGTTAAAAAAGCAGCCCAATCTAGACCAGATTTCTCTAATTTTATTAATAACTGAGCTATGCATAGCCATTTTATAATTTAG